GGCTTGCAGCGTATACTGTGCCCATTTGCCCAGTGCCACCACTCACTCACTGGTGTCACAATAGCGTGCATTTAAAAACCAAAAACTTTTTTCACTGTTATAGATTGAATAGCAGTTAGTTGTCTTCAAGCGTCTGTGTGTCAGGCTTGCAGCTTATACTGTGCCCACTTGACCAGTGCCACCACTCACTCACTGGTGTCACAATAGCGTGCATTTAAAAACCCAAAAACTTTTTTCACTGTTATAGATTGAATAGCAGTTAGTTGTCTGCAAGCTTCTGTGTGTCAGGCTCGCAGCGTATACTGTGCCCATTTGCCCAGTGCCACCACTCACTCACTGGTGTCACAATAGCGTGCATTGAAAAACCCAAAAACTTTTTTCACTGTTATAGATTGAATAGCAGTTAGTTGTCTTCAAGCGGGTGTGTCAGCCCTACAGCGATTACTCTGCCAACCTCTGCCAGTTCACAGTACCAATCATATCTGGTGTCACAGTAGCTTGCACGCATAGTACCACTAATCAAAAAAATGACAGGCAGAGGCAGGCCACCCCTACACTGCGCATTGGGTAAACCTGCTGACGGCTGCCAAGCATGGAATGCGTGGCTCTGCAGAGGAGTTGGTGACACCGCTACGACTTGCAGGCAGGCCTGCTGCCACCTCCTCTACTCCTCCTACTCCATCCTCTTCCATAACCTCCTCGGCTGAGTCCTCTTCTGCTGCTGCGTTTTGCTCCACATCAACGGATAGGGGATGTAACAGGGATTAAACTGATAAGAATAGTACTACTTAACACACCACTCCTATCTGGTGGCACATTAGATTGCACGCGCAGTGCCCCAAATTTGAAGTAGGAGGACCGCACTGGGCACTTTTTCCATCTCCCCGGGTTCCTAAAATCGATGCTATATACACGCCCTGATAGGGATGTAACAGGGATTAAACTGATAGAATACTACTTAACACACACTCATACAAACAGAGAGAGGCAACGCAGAGAGAGGAGTCTGAAGAAGAGGAGTCAGAGGAGGAAGGTGGCTTTGGTGGAAGACCAAACACAGCAGGCATCCCAGGGGGCTTGTTGTCACCTTTCAGGGACCCTTGGTGTTGTACGTGGCTGGGTGGAGGAAGAGACCTTCAATGACATCAGTGAGGACAAGGAACGGGACATGGCTAGCTTGGTATCCAACTTTGTGCAAATGGGGAGTTTGCGGTTGTGCAAATGGACTGTTTGCGGTTGTTTGCGGTGCGTTAAACGGGGAGTTTGGTCTGTCACTGTGAAGCGGGCGTAACCCTTACACTACCTGATCGATACAACATCATACAGTAGGTTCCCCCCTCATTATTTTTATGGCCCCCACCCACCGCTCACTTGTGGGGGCGGGCGGGAGGACAGTAGGTCCCCGTCCCCCATTGAGATTTTTGGCCCCCACCCACCGTGCAGGGGTGGGGGCCGGGGGGGAGGACAGTAGGTCCCCCCTTATCCTTATTTACTGAATATTCCTCTGTATAACAATGTTTGGCATTTAGTGAATATTCCCTATTCTGCTCTGTGTCAGTGTGTATCAGGGATCCTTAGGATAGGTGTCAATCCATATCTGCCAAGTGACCCTATGTAGGGGGAACATTCCCTATTCTGCTATGTGTCAGTGTGTATCAGGGATCCTGAGGATAGGTGTCAATCCATACCTGCCAAGTGACCCTATGCAGGGGGAACAGTCCCTATTCTGCTCTGTGTCAGTGTGTATCAGGGATCCTGAGGACAGGTGTCAATCCATATCTGCCAAGTGACCCTATGTAGGAGAACAGTCTCTATTCTGCTCTGTGTCAGTGTGTATTATGGTCTCTGAGGACTGGTGTCAATCCATATATTTTCTTACAGAGTTAATAGAAAGAGTAACATAAAATGTGCATTATGCCCTACATTTCCCTAGCAAAAGTTAAAAAAAAAGTTTTTTTTCCTGTAGTGACTGGCATTATATTCAGTTCAATATCCAAATATTCAATTTTTAGGGTTTCATTTGAGTTGAACAAAGCAGCTTTATACTGTAACATGTGTTTCTTGGATATCATCCTTGTCATTATTTATCACAGCTAAATATATGTAGCTGAAACTGTCTCTTTGTATGTGTATCTTTTCATCTCTCACCTACTCTTTTTCTAAATTTCTTAACACTTCTCTTTCATTCCCCAATTTATCATTCCTTTACTCACCACAAGTCTTTAAAAGGCATTCTACTCTGCCTGCCTGATTATCTATAAATTAACATTTTGTTCTTGTTAACCTTAACGTATGTAACTCATTAATTGTCAATTTCTTTTCATTTAAAATAATTAGCATGGCTTTGAACCTGGGACAATAAGAAACACAAACAAAGGATTAAATAGTAGTATTTTTTGTATTAATTACTGGTCAGGTATACCTTAAAGGAACACTAAAGTCAACAAAACAACTTAAGCTTAATGAAGCAGTTTTAGTGTATAAATCATATAACTGCAGCCTCACTGCTAAATTCTCTGTCATTTGAAAGTTAAATCACTTTGTTTCTGTTTATGCAGCCACACCTTTCCTGGCTGTGACTGACACAGCCTTCATGAAACAAAAATGTTTTCAATTTCAATCAGATGTAACTTACTTTAAAAGTTTTTATCTCCTGCTCTGTAAATTGAACTTTAATTACATACAGGCAGGGCCGCCATCAGGGCATGACAACCGCAACATTCAGTGGGTACATACCGGGTCGCAGGGGGTCCTGCGACCTGGTATGTACCCACAGGGCCAGCCTCTTCTCCTGGGGGGCCCAGCAGCCGGTCACCTCAGTGTGTATCAGGGATCTTGAGGATAGGTGTCAATCCATATCTGCCAAGTGACCCTATGTAGGGGGAACAGTCTCTATTCTGCTGTGTGTCAGTGTGTATCATGGTCCCTGAGGACAGGTGTCAATCCATATCTGCCAAGTGACCCTATGTAGGGGAAACAGTCTCTATTCTGCTCTGTGTCAGTGTGTATCAGGGGCTCTGAGGACAGGTGTCAATCCATATCTGCCAAGTGACCCTATGTAGGGGGAACAGTCTCTATTCTGCTCTGTGTCGGTGTGTATCATGGTCTCTGAGGACAGGTGTCAATCCATATCTGCCAGGTGACCCTATGTAGGGGAAACAGTCTCTATTCTGCTCTGTGTCAGTGTGTATCATGATCTCTGAGGACAGGTGTCAATCCATATCTGCCAAGTGACCCTATGTAGGAGAACAGTCTCTATTCTGCTCTGTGTCAGTGTGTATCAGGGGCTCTGAGGACAGGTGTCAATCCATATCTGCCAAGTGACCCTATGTGGGAGAACAGTCTCTATTCTGCTCTGTGTCAGTGTGTATCATGGTCTCTGAGGACAGGTGTCAATCCATATCTGCCAAGTGACCCTATGGAGGAGGAACAGTCTCTATTCTGCTCTGTGTCAGTGTGTATCATGGTCTCTGAGGACAGGTGTCAATCCATATCTGCAAAGTGACCCTATGTAGGGGTAACAGTCCCTATTCTGATCTGTGTCAGTGTGTATCAGGGGCTCTGAGGACAGGTGTCAATCCATATCTCCCAAGTGACCCTATGTAGGAGGAACAGTCTCTATTCTGCTCTGTGTCAGTGTGTATCAGGGGCTCTGAGGACAGGTGTCAATCCATATCTGCCAAGTGACCCTATGTAGGGGGAACAGTCCCTATTCTGCTCTGTGTCAGTGTGTATCAGGGATCCTGAGGATGGGTGTCAATCCATATCTGCCAAGTGACCCTATGTAGGGGGAACAGTCCCTATTCTGCTCTGTGTCAGTGTGTATCAGGGATCCTTAGGACAGGTGTCAATCCATATCTGCCAAGTGACCCTATGTAGGGGGAACAGTCCCTATTCTGCTCTGTGTCAATATGTCATATGTCAGGTATCAATCCATATCTATTGTGATTTAGGAATGTTAAGTGATTTCTGCCCTTTATGGATTAAGACCAGACTCTGCATCAACTGTGTAATTTTCCATGGGAGTTTTGCCATGGATCCCCCTCCGGCATGCCACAGTCCAGGTGTTAGTCCCCTTGAAACAACTTTTTCCATCACTATTGTGGCCAGAAAGAGTCCCTGTGTGTTTTAAAATTCGCCTGCCCATTGAAGTCTATGGCGGTTCGCCCGGTTCGCCGGTTCGCGAACATTTACGGAAGTTCGCGTTCGCCATTCGCGGACCGAAAATTTTGTGTTCGCGACATCACTACCGACAGATAGTGGATGTGGCTCACATGACAAAATCCTACCGGTGGTTGGAAAAGGCAGGACTGGAAGGTAGCACTGAGGCACTAATCCTAGCGGCACAGGAACAGGCACTAAGTACCAGATCAATAGAAGCTGGAGTCTACCACACCAGGCCAGACCTAAGGTGCAGACTGTGCAAAGAGGCCTCTGAGACAGTCCAGCACCTAGTATCTGGATGCAAGATGTTAACAGGAACAGCGTTCAAAGAGAGACACAACCAACTTGCTGGGATTGTGTACCGAAACATCTGCATAGAATATGGATTGGACCTACCTAAGTCCAGATGGGAGATACCACACAGTTTAGTCGAAAATGACAGAACTAAGATCCCGTGGGACTTCAAGATCCAGACAGACCAGCAAGTGATGGCCAACCAACCCAACATGGTGGTGGTAGACAAGGAATGGAAGACTGCAGTCGTGGTGGATGTGGCAATACCCAGTGACTATAACATCAAGAAGAAGGAAGATAAGAAGGTGGAGAAATACCAAGGACTGAAAGAAGAACTAGAAACGATGTGGAGCGTAAAGGTAGTAGTAATCCCAGTTGTGATAGGAGCACTCAGGTCTTTGACTAAGTTGGGGTAGTGGCTTCAACATACTCCAGGTGGGACATCTGAGATTGCTGTCCAGAAGAGTGCAGTTCTAGGAACAACTAAGATACCGTGCAGAACCTTCAAACTCCCAGGCCATTGGTAGATTACCTGAGAATGAGAAATAAACATACCACCCAGGAGGTGTGAGAAAATATTTTATATATATATATATATATATATATATATGGTATATCTATATGTATAAAATTAAAATTGATTTACTCACCCCTCCTGGGTGGTATGTTTTATATATATTATGCACATTTTTTTCTTTATAGGTAGTGTAGAATAAATTCCCATAAAGAGAAATCTTACCTGCAGAGGAAGAAAAAGAGTACTGTTTCTTTAAGTGGATATGAAAATACAACAATATATTTGTGCTCGAAGTAATTGCTTACCGCCATTCGAACAACTCAATAGCATCTAGACTTCTACCTATCACCTCCTCCTTTGCCCTTACTCAATAGACAAAGTCCCCAACACACATAGCCGGCAAACACCCTTGACTTTGTTTTCTCCAACGTTTGCTCTGTTTCTAATACACCTTTTGATCACAAACTACTAACCTGCAATGTCAATGTGCCCATAACTCAACATGTTAAATCTAGCTTATCTCGGACCATGACAATCCTAACTTCACTTCCTACATTCACTTCCATTCATTAAGAGTATTTTACCTCACTCATATCAACTTACTCTTGTGATTCCAAATGCCTCTTTCACTGTCAGGGTTCTCACCGTGCCATACAGACGGTCGGGCATGGCCACCCGACAGGGGATTTGACCCTGGCTTCTGTCTTCATTTATCCTGATCTCTGGCATCCCTGGACTTCGACTACACTTCGTTGATCCTGACCTCTGGTATCCTTTGATTTCGGCTATCCCTTGACTATCCTGCTGTTTGTGTCCTTGTTGGTACTACATTGGAATCACCTTTCCTGCAGAGCCCCTGAGCACAGATTCACAGTCCAGGTGGCTTCTTATCTGGTCACCTGGGACTGTGTCTATCTGCAGGGGTGAGCAAACATATCTGCGCTACAGACTTCCATCTCAGTTAAGAACCCTGACATTCACACCTTTAGCTCCCTTTTTTGCCTCACTGCAACCCCACTACTAACTAACCTTACAGCTAGTGATTTTGCATGTCACTCTACTGAGAAGTTCAACCAAATATGCAATGCAATCTCCACTCTTTCCTATTCCCCCTCCATTATTCAGTTTCTATTCTGTACCTTTTTTAAATGTCAACTCCTTTCCTCTTGTTTCTGAGCTAGATGTATCCAAACTTCTCCAGTCCTAATGCTCCACCACATGCCCTCTTGAACCCCTCCACCTTGTCCAATATTTTTCCTATAGTCTGGTCCCTTCTCTAATGCATATTTTAAACCTCTCTTTGTCTATTGGTATCTTCCATCAAACATGCAATTGTTAATCCACTCTTTAAAAAGCCATTCTTGACCCTACCTCTCCTTCTAACTACCGTCATATATAACTACTCCCCTCCACTTCCAAGCTTCTTGAGGATGTTGTATTTACCCATCTAACTCACTTTATCATCACTAACACACTCTTTGACCTTCTTCTATCTGGCTTCCGCTCCCTCCATTCTACTGAAACTGCCCTTACCAAAGTAACAAACTACTTAATCACTGGTAAATCTAAAGGTCATTACTCTCTCTTAATTCTCCTTGACCCCTCTGCTTTGATACTGTTAACCACTGTCATCTTCTTCTTACCCTCCACAACCCTAGACTCTGTGACACTGTACCTTCCTGGTTTTCATCCTGTTTCTGAATGCTCATTTAGTGTCTCTTCTGAGATTTGCGTGTTCCCAAACTACCAAGTATCATCTGCAGAATTTTCCTTTTCTTTGGAATGTGTTACATCATGCCATCAGACTCTCCCCTTACCTTATTATATGGACTCAAGCTGCTAGCGTGTGAAAGGCTCATAGAACAAAACTTAATTCCGAATAATGTCCACTTACTTGATAAAGAAGTGGAAAATTGACTAATTTATTTGTTTATATAGATGACATAACCTTGTTCAGTAAAAGACAACAGGACAACAGGACCGAACTGAGATGGTTACACAACTGAACAACAAAGTTGAAGTCAAAAGATTGTGAAATGTGACCTTTTATCTCAGTATGCAAGGAGAAAGAGATGACGATGGCAGGTATCTTCTCGATCAAAGGTGCAAGTTTCTAGATTTGCTAATGCCTATGGATCTAAAAGAAACCCATGCTGCAGCTACACCCATGTGTACAAAATTCCTCCCAGAGTCTGATAACAGTGAAGACTTACCAAATAACAATATGTATAAAACAGTAGTAGTTAAGTTTTTATACCTAGCAATAACTTGTGGACCTGACATTGCATCTGCAGTGGGAATGTCGTGATGAAAATTGTTCTCTCCCAGTTGAAGAGACTGGATTGCGCTCGAGAGTAGTAAGATATCGTAAATGATCTGCTCATCTTAAACCAAAGTTATTTGCTGTCAGTGGTACCAGACTAGTAAGCTATACAGATGGAGATTTGGCTGGAGACAAATCAACTCATAAATCTATATGTGGCCACATGTTATGTGGGAATAGTCATATGGACTAGTGAGAATCAGTTGTACAGAAGCAAAAGTGAATCTCACCAGAGGAAGCATGCAACGAAGCACAAAGGCATGGCCAACATCTTGAGGTCGTGGGAATGCCAGAGCCAAAGCGCATTTGACTGATGGAAGACAACCAGAATGTATAATGATGGACGAAACAGAGAAAGTAAATGTACACACCAAGCACATTGACGTTAGATGACCTGTACTAGAAAGGATTTATTGAGATTGGGTATTACCCAATGACAGAGATGACCAGTTAGTAAGGATCTTGAATGTGGTAGCTAACCCTTTCACTGTGAATGCAATAGATAACTGGGGACCTCAAATGGAAATAATTGACCTTCAATGTGATTCAGACCCAAAAACCAAACTGAAGTTTCTCTACTCACATTTTACCAAAAGTATGTAGAAATCATAAAATTTGTCAATTTAAAAATGCATGCTGTAATAACGTTCTTCTTTGAAAGCACATGCCTACGTGCAAGTATTCATCATCATCTGGAGCATTGACTCCTATTACCTTGCGCAGAAATAATTCCCAAATTATTAGAAAAAAATAAGCCTATGTTCTCATTAGCTGAATCCTACATTCATTTGATAGCTATTGTATTGTATATGAGTTGTCTATTGTATGGCCTGGGGCTTAAACCAAATTTTCAAAGTGGCCTTCGATTTATACAATGTTGAGCACCCCAGGTTTAAATGGAATTAGCTTGTATCCAATCTCTATCTTAAATTTGTAGCAAAGTACAAATATCAATATATTAACATAAACATATACTCCAGAAATATATTTCCTTGTTTGTAGGGCACTTTCTAAAAGCAAGATGGAGAATACATCAGTTATCAAAATTAAAGTTGCCAAAAATAAAGTACGGCTTCTATTGGCAGTCAGAATGTGTAAGGTTTTTTTAATTTTTTTTTTAAACTGTGGGAGGCTTGTTTCTTCAATTACTAAAAAATGCACAATTGTTAAACACTACTTTAAATCTATGCAATTAATGAATTTTCTGGCACAAACATACAACTAGATCTGAAAAAAATCTCATTCTGTTGAGATGTGTCAATCTCCACAAGGGATTAAGCAATTCCATCTCAATGCTCTTGTGTCCCTGAGGTCCCGTTTAAATTGACAGTTATGTTATGATGGGAGTTATAATTAAATAAATCTTTACTGAAAAATTAATCTATTCATATAAAGCTAAACAGGAAATTATTGCTTAAAGAAACACTCCAGCGTTATAAATGCCTTTACTTCTAATTATTAGGCAAGTTGTATTTTTGAGGATTAATTTTATTATTGAACAACAACCATGTTCTCAATGAACCCAAAAAACTCATTAATATCAAAGCTGAATATTTTTGGAAGTAGTTTTTAGTTTGTTTTTAGTTATAGCTATGTTAGGGGGATATCTGTGTGTGCAGGTGACTATTACTGTGCATAATTATTAGGCAACTTAACAAAAACAAATATATACCCATTTCAATTATTTATTATTACCAGTGAAACCAATATAACATCTCAACATTCACAAATATACATTTCTGACATTCAAAAACAAAACAAAAACAAATCAGTGACCAATATATCCACCTTTCTTTGCAAGGACACTCAAAAGCCTGCCATCCATGGATTCTGTCAGTGTTTTGATCTGTTCACCATCAACATTGCGTGCAGCAGCAACCACAGCCTCCCAGACACTGTTCAGAGAGGTGTACTGTTTTCCCTCCTTGTAAATCTCACATTTGATGATGGACCACAGGTTCTCAATGGGGTTCAGATCAGGTGAACAAGGAGGCCATGTCATTAGATTTTCTTCTTTTATACCCTTTCTTGCCAGCCACGCTGTGGAGTACTTGGACGCGTGTGATGGAGCATTGTCCTGCATGAAAATCATGTTTTCTTGAAGGATGCAGACTTCTTCCTGTACCACTGCTTGAAGAAGGTGTCTTTCAGGAACTGGCAGTAGGACTGGGAGTTGAGCTTGACTCCATCCTCAACCCGAAAAGGCCCCACAAGCTCATCTTTGATGATACCAGCCCAAACCAGTACTCCACCTCCACCTTGCTGGCTTCTGAGTCGGACTGGAGCTCTCTGCCCTTTACCAATCCAGCCACGGGCCCATCCATCTGGTCCATCAAGACTCACTCTCATTTCATCAGTCCATAAAACCTTAGAAAAATCAGTCTTGAGATATTTCTTGGCCCAGCCTTGACGTTTCAGCTTGTGTGTCTTGTTCAGTGGTGGTCGTCTTTCAGCCTTTCTTACCTTGGCCATGTCTCTGAGTATTGCACACCTTGTGCTTTTGGGCACTCCAGTGATGTTGCAACTCTGAAATATGGCCAAACTGGTGGCAAGTGGCATTGTGGCAGCTGCACGCTTGACTTTTCTCAGTTCATGGGCAGTTATTTTGCGCCTTGGTTTTTCCACACGCTTCTTGCGACCCTGTTGACTGTTTTGAATGAAACGCTTGATTGTTCGATGATCACGCTTCAGAAGCTTTGCAATTTTAAGAGTGCTGCATCCCTCTGCAAGATATCTCACTATTTTTGACTTTTCTGAGCCTGTCAAGTCCTTCTTTTGACCCATTTTGCCAAAGGAAAGGAAGTTGCCTAATAATTATGCACACCTGATATAGGGT